GGAGGGAGAGGAGAGAGAGAGAGAGAGAGGTCCACGCGCGGGGCGATCCCGAGGAATCGGGCAACTGGGCGACTGGGCGATCTGTCAGCTGCGTCGCCGTCCCGAGGACGAGAGCGCGAGGGGGCGCGGTACGATATCGCGGGCGGAAGCGCGCCGTACCGGAAGGATCACATCCGCGTGGGAAAGCGGCGGGGCGAGTCCGCGCATTCTCCGGGTATCCCCTGGCGGCGGGCCGCGTGCCGCATCGCCACGGGAGAACGGCACGTCCTGTCCCGCTCCAGATTATCGGGGGGCACGCGGATGTTGGACCTCTACTTCCGGCCGCGACGTCTCATCGACGACCATGCGCCGACGGCGATCGACGACGGTCCGCCCGTGGCGGAGGAACGCGGCGACGGGACGCGCGCGCGCGAGCGCGAACGGGCGATCGGCCTCTCACCTCGACGGAGCTTAGAAAGTAGGCGAGTCGCCAGGCGCCGTCGCCATTGCAGCGCGAGAGCGGCCACGGAACCGTCAAAAAGGCCCACCGTGCGTGTCTATTCTCGCATGCGCGCGCGCGCACACACACAGTTGCACACACACACACGCGCACACACTGCCCACAGGATCTGCCTTCCTCGTACGCGACACACCCGCCCAATGGCCCGTCGACGGTGCCACTCGCGATAGGCGACGGCGACGCTGCGTTGTCGCCAGGCGAACGCTCTCAGGACCGACCTGTCGTCGTCGTCGTCGTAGTCTCTGGTCTTCTCATCGTCCGCGAGCCACGCGCGTCGCGTACCACGCGAGAACGTGGACGAGTCGCGCGAGATCGATGTATCCCGCACGTCTCACGTTCGAGCTAATCGCGTCGCACCCGCAGCCAAGCTTCTCGCGGACTCGCGCACGATCCAATCGCGGTGGAGAAAGCCACGGTGTCGCACGGTGTCGGGGCCGCGAGAGACTCGGACGCGCCTCTCTCGATATTCCTCTTTCGTTGCGACGCGACCGACACCTGGCGGATTCCTGTGCCGACCGGGCGAGCGACGTCCGCTCGGTAAAGGACGCGCTCGGCCGATGCTAACCCGAACTGTATATCGAGCAGGTGCATGGCCGTGAACGCTCGAATGACGGCCAACGTTTCTGCAGTCTCTCGTGTCGTGTAACGTACGTGGGTTTGTAATTCAAAGAAATTTTGAATTACTTGAAAGTTTATTATTCAAAGAAATGAACTAGCGCCATCTGTTGCAAAAATACGTCGCGACTTTACCGACAACCCAATATTTTGAAAAAGCAAACGATCAGCGCGATCGCGCCTTGTAAAGACATTTGTCATAAGAATTCATTGTTACGCAATGTTTTTTTTTTTCATCAAATTACCTTCACGGTGAGCCGAGCGCGTGCGAAACCTACACGTTCCCTCAAGTTACGCGGTGCTTTTTGTACGCGATAAAAATCCCTCCGTTTACGGGAAACGAGCCTAAAATCAAATGGAAATGGAGATATCTTCTCTCTCTTCATTTTTGCGACTCTTCTCGAGTCTCGACTGCGTCAAAAAAGAATCACGTCGAACGAATACTCCGCATAAATTGAGGAACGAGCAGTTCTAAGGAAAATCGTAAGACTCGTAACTTGTTTTCGTGAGACTCGTAAGATCCAACTTACGAATAATCTACGACCTTATGCACACCGTACGTCATACACGGAGAGAATTTTCTCTTAAAATTTATCCTGAAAATCGTGGAACAACGTGATATTTTCAAGAACTTTATGAGGATTTTTTGAAAATCAGCACGAAACTTTACTAGTTAAAAAGTTTCGAGAAACAACGAAATCTTAATGAATTGAAACATCTGCTTACTTGTAGAATATTACGAAAATTAACACAAGTGTTCTAATTCTAGCATTTTCATGTTGATTTTTATAACACTTTTTAAATTTACGTATAGAATTTCTTAGATTCTGGCAGTATATTTTATTTTTTTGTAGATTTTTGTAGAATTGTTTCCCGGCAGGGAACCTAGACTAAAATTCTTCGAAATGCCACGTTGTCCCACGATCCCATACATGTTTTTCAGGATAAATTGTAGGAAAGAATTCTCTTCGTGTACGATACGCATGTAGAATTGCAGATTACTTCTAAGTCTTAAGGTCTAAGCAGAATGGCAGTCTTGTATTCTTAAGACACGTACAAGACACTTATTGTGCGTTACTTTAAAATAAAAATTTAAAACGTAAAACATCTTAGAAGTACAAGACATTCTGCTCAGGCCCTCACGAAAACAAGTTACAGGTCTTACGATTTTACTTAGAATTGCAGCATTTAGCGTTTGTTTCTGATAATCGCCTATACTTAATTTCCCTAACGACTTTTACCTTTCGCCAAAGTTTCTAAACTCCAGCCGTCTCCGTGTTTATATCGTAAACAGAATTCTAATCTAGAAAGGGGTACGGAGAGGAATCGTATGCCAGCCAAAGGAGTGATACATTGGAACTGCGTTTGGGTAAGGGTGTCTCATACACTTGAGCTCCTGCCATGCACATATCATTTGATGTATTTGCTTACTTCTCGGTAAACTTCGCTAACAAGATCTCGACCAAGCCAGAAAAATACAGCTAAAATCGGTTACAATCGCCGTAAGACGGTCGCTTGTGTCGTTGGGTGGCGCAAGAAAAGATGATGATTCTCGGCCCGGGTCGATGCCACGATGGCGAGAGCTTCACCGAAGCGACAAATGTCGCGCTCCAAGTGCCACTTCGTTATTTTATTATAAAGCGCAACATTCGCTATCACTTTATCGCTAATCGAAACTCCTATCGCCACTTGGCGCAAGGACCATCCGGGCTGCCTTTTTTTACGCCATCCTATGTAAATTATATACAACGAACACGGCAGTGATATATATTTATATATTTACATATCCTTGCCATTCACTATGCTCTACTCTGCCGCCTGCAATTTTATCTACGGATCCGAGTTAGGATTTGTCCCACGAATAAACTTCAACGATCGACTCGTCACAATAATTATCGTCTCGACACGCTACTTTATTTCCCAAAAAGAAAACATCGACAAAATGTATTTAACAACGGTCACAGTCGTTCTCGTTAAACAAGAGGCGCGATCGCTCTCGCTATCTGTTCTGTACAATGTTTCGAAACGTCTCGCTGCTCGAAAGACGCGCGTCTATGCTAATCGACCTGGCGGATTGCAAAAAAAAAGTGCACGAGTTTAAAGTTCGCCGTCACATCGAGATACACGATGTTTCAGCCTTGATAAAAAAAAATATACGGAAAACAATTCGACTTTTGCAAATTCGTGATTCATTGCGGTGATAAGTGAAAAAAGTTAATTTACAATTGTTACAGTGAAAGAGGAACCAAGATTAATTTTCTTCCTTTATTACTGGTTTCTACGAACGTAAGCGGATAAATTGCACAATCTTAATATCGCAAAGAGAAAAAAAAGAAATTTTGAACGTAAAAAGTTCCTCGGAGAAAGTAAAAATTTTAAAATGCAATATATTTAAAACTTTCAAACATCTTCGTGGAAGATTTCGGTATACTTGAAAAAAATAAACGTGAAGAAATGTTTAATCGGTACACATTAATGCATACACTAGTGTATGCATTTTTATTAAACATTTAAATAATTTGTAAGGAAAGTATTTGTTTCTCTCTAAAAAAAAAAGACAAATAAATATAAAATCATAAGGGAATACGAATATCGGCATTCGTCCCTTTCTTATGACCGCAATTAAATGTGCAATTATTATGCTTTTGATTGCTATATATACGATTATCCAATTGCTATAGAAAATAACAATCAAAAATAATCTCTCTTTATACGTACAGCGACCTTTTTATATACCGCGATTTCCTACAAAGTTAATTTATTTTTGGAGGAGTGAAAGCTGCCTTCCTTTAATTCACAGTGAGAAAGACGCGAATGATTATGAAACCTTGTTCTTTTGCTCTCAACGCTTCAATTGCGCGAAACTCGATACGATTGAAATGAATTAAAACATTCACTAGCATCTCTCGTGACATGAACTTTCTTCAGCTTTTATAGATATAAAGAAACGGAATCGTACCTATAAACAGATCTGTAAAGATTTTAAATATTATAATTTTTACTACAATAATATTATTGATGTTATAAAAAGAATATTATTAAAATATAAATATCATTTTACTTTATAAATGTTCGTGTTAGTATGCTTATAATTTTTTATAATAAATTTTCTTACTTTAATCTAGATTCGATTGCCGATGTATTGACATACAATTAAAAATCATCATATACAGAAAGACCGTGATATGTTGCGTTTTTTCTCCTTCGTGAAGTAGTGTAACTTGATTGGTTTCCAGTGGGGAAAAGAAAAGGATTAACAACCCGAACGATATGTCAGCATCCTTGTAAACTGTAGATAATATTCGCTGGTGAAAGATCAAAGAAACAAGGTCTTCCCAATCGTTCACGTAATTCTTCCGCGCGATTTACATGGAGTGTCTTTAGAAAAATAAAGGATAACGTGAATCGTCACATTCGTTTGCTTCAAAACAGGCGTATCAAGGGCGTATTATCCTGCGGCTAGTTAGTAAATTACGCACGATTATATTTCCTCGCATGACGTATTAGTAGAATCGATTAAATCTAAGACGTGTCTGCTATCCAGAAATAGTTATTAATCTGTAATAATAATTATTCTTCTTTTTATAGTCTATCAAAATATTCATCACAGTGCTACGGACACAAAGATTGTGTTCTGGTTTATGTATATATACATATATATGTGTAAATAATCTTTTTTTTTTACTTCCGGGAAAAACCCACGAATTCCGGTCGCGTTCATTCTTGCGTTCGTCCCGAATCACAGGGAAGAAAGGAAACAAATCACAATTATGCAAATCACAAAAATCACATTTCGTTTTTCGGAAAAGAAATTTTGATTTTCTTCTCTCTTCTCGGGTTTTACGCCCTCGTCAGAAATTACAATGATCCGCTACAGAGACACGAAGTAATACGACGATTAACTTTGTACTTTTCATTGCACGTACCATTCAATCACAACACGTTTTGATCTTTCTCGACTTTACGCTCCATCGGAACGCGAGACCGAATTCGTCGACGTTTTTCCATGCTCATATCACTTTTTTTTTTCGATTAAACGTAGAGTGCTACACACACAATGGCAGTTTATATATATATATATGCATATACATATACATACATATATATACATATATACATATACACATACATATACATATATAATAGCGATATAATATATACATATGTATATATATATATCTCTCCTGCTTAAAAACTTTTACTCAACTTACTCTCTACGCGTGACTATATTTACAGCAATAAGTTGAGGAAAATGGCCTCTCAACGAGATCGTCCAGCTTGCGATAAACTCCACAAATGAAATAATTAGCAGGATGCACTATAGCAAGAATTACTATAGATGCCCAGAACAAAGAAACCTGACGTACATTCCTAACGCGAATCGATAGATTTTCCAATTTCAAGATTACACGCTAAATTAGGAATAGAAAGACTAATTGATTTAATTTAATAGAATTTTCGAATTATGTATATATCGCTATTATTATATTACAGAAACAAATTTAAAACAAAGAAACGGCGCGAACTTATTCTATCGTATCAATACGCTGTATTCTACTCTGCAAGTACGAATCACCGATCAAAATGAGACCGAGAGTGTAATCGCAATTTCGAGTCAATTTTACAAACCATTCGTGTTGAAATTGTCAATATGCGAAAGATCATTTTGGTAGCGAATATGCAAAAGATCGATGTCGTTCTAATAATTTTTGCGAAAGAAAAATAAGTGTTATGAACGCGTGTATAAATTATTGTTCCAACACGAACAGTTAAATCCACGTGTAATTTTCCAAATAATTTTCATTGTATTCTCGCGCTTTTTCGATTCTCGATTCCCTCTTAACCCTTTGCGATCTAAAATAATTTAGAAATAAATCATGTTTCGTAGTAGTGTTGAGAGCTACATTTATCATCTTAACATTATCACAATGGATTAACGTAATAACTTGTTCCTATTACTGCCAGTGAGAAATTAAATTAATAAATAAATAATAAAAACATGTCGGTTGTTTCTTTCCGGCACGAAAAATTACAATCGTCAAGCGCAAAGGGTTAAAAGAACAAAAATTGATTTCTAATTTGATATCTTATTCGAGCGTTTGTCGATCACAGTTCGACTTGAAGGGGACTGGGCGGGCGGAACGATTGGCAGCAGCCCCATGGAAAATACCACGTGGCTCAGCACCTTGGCGAAAATTTTGGATTTGTAGGACCGTGAATGTAACTCCTGAGTTCTTTCGGCGATTCCGAGCCCAAGTCCGACGCCGTGTCCACATCCGACCTCCGACAGATGATCATACGGATATCCGTATGCAGATAAATTCGACCTGATTTGCTGGACATAAATCTAGAAGGAAATTTCATGCGGGCATTTATTATTTCTTTCAGAAGTGAAAGTTGAGTTCTATAAAATATTTCTTAAAACATATATGCCAATTTTTCAACTGTTTAAATTTTGCAACTGACGTCTTATGTAACGTACGAGTTATACACTGGCTTGCAATGGTCTGACTGCTACGATCTATTTTTATAAACCACTTTGGTACAACTGATACATACCTAAGGTGAACGAGGTAGCGTAGTGTTTTGTCCCGCAGTGTTCTTTGACGTAAAAAAGTATGAGATCGCGGCGGCATATCGGAAAGATCGTACAATACTACGAACATCTTAACGACTGTACCCAACGGATTCAAAAGAGTCACTTGAACAGTGCCACTTCTTGGTACCTGATAGCCCTTTTTCTCAAGATTAATGTGAGCCTGTAAAATAACAGCGCAATGAACCATCGTCACGCACGTAAAAGAAAGAAGGAAATCTGTAATATCTCTGTTATCGAATTATTATATGGCCATCGATGGTGTGCTACATTTATTATTAAAAATGTAAACTATTCAAGAGACACGCTATATCGATTTACTGTTTGACAAAACGTACAAGGTATGGTGTGGAGACTTTGTCGTTGTCACCGAGTGTATAGAAGAACACAGTGACTGGAAGCTTCTGGTGTTTCGGGCAGAAGGAACCGCTGGCCCCGAGTTCCGCTGTGAAACCGTGAACCGTGGACACCGGTTCGAGTCTACCGTTCAACGCCGATTCCTCGAAGCTGCCTAGAAGAGCGTGACTCTGTGGTCGATGACGAGAGCTAGAGCGTCTTTTGGGTGTTTCCTCGCCTTCACCGGCGGTTTCCGCATCGCGATCGGTTTCTTCCAACGAGACTGCGCCCGGACTCGGCGGTGTATTTAATTCGAACAAAGCGCTAAACACGCAAAATGTTACTTTACAGAAGAAAATTCTATCGATATCCGCTCGACGGCATCAATAAACAGTATTGCATTTCTAATCTGAGATGCTTTCAAATATAATTATTTTAATATTTTCTATCTTTATGTTATTAATAATATATCTCGAAATATTGAACTCTTGTTTCCGCTATAACTTGCAAACAAAAAACTTTCAAAACGAATATTGTGAACATTGAACTTTTCTATAAAAAAAATACAATTATAATAGACACTTATAGTATAAATTAATAATATTATTTATTGATGCCGCTCAATTGTTTGTATCGTTTCCTGATAAACTTCGTACTTTCTTTTGGAGGAAACGGAATTCAAGCTGCTGTCGTAGTCGAAGCAACAGCTACCTCTTCTCAACGGCGCTGGACTAGAGGTCAACGGCAAACCAGTTCTGCTATGGAATACCATCGATGCAGCGTTCTCCAGGGATCTGCGGAATCTCTCCTGCTCGAGCGCGGACGGCACGCTCTTATCGACAGTTTCGTCGTCTCCCGTCTCTGCATTACTGTCCTTGTAATTGTTGCTCCGTAGCTTGGAAGACGAATATCCGCTCTGCGGAATAGTTGGAGTAGTCAAATTGCTCTTCTGAAGAACAGCAATGTCCTTTGTATTCTCGTTCTGCTCTTTATTTTCAAAAGGTTCCTTCGCATCTTCGAGTATCCGCCAATTGCAATGATTCTGCTGGTTATTTAGGCCCTCGGAATCGCATTCGCGATCATTATTATTTGTACTATGCATATTGCGTGGCTTTTGATGTGCGTCTTTTGTACTGAACGTCGCAGCATCCTCTTTCTTCTCGGTAGCCTCCGGGAAGTTCGCAAAGTCGATACGTCGCTTTGTCTTACTATATCTCGCGCTATGCAGATTCGGTTGTTCGTTGTTGTGGCGAAGCGACGCTGTATTTAAGCGTTGCGGCAGCGTTGGACTTGGCGAGGTCTCCTGCGAGAAGGAACTGTCCTCCGCTATCAATGCGATCCTCTTATCAACTTCTTTCTTAAACATCTGCCGGAACCGGTAGAATCTTTTATTCAGCGGCAAGAATTTCTCGTCATTGGATGAAGTGCTTCCGTGGTCCTGCTGATCGAGCTTTTCGATACTCGATAAGTGAGAATCGTCGTCGCTGCTGTCGTCGTCAATGCTAGTCGTCGACCTAGGTCTGGTCCCGTTTGATGAAATATCCGACAGGTCCTTTCGGTCCTTGCTGGTCCGCAGAATGGCTCCGAGTAGCACGTCAGCTTTAGTGGAAACGTTGCGCAAACGATCCACTTCCTCGCATGGATACATCTTCGCTTGCAGGTCACCGTTTAACTTGTTGGTGCCATCGGCAAGTTTCGAGCGCGCAGGCCGATAAACATTCTTGTCATAATAGACCCGGTCTAGAGGGCTTGGTTGTTCCTCCGGTACCTGATGGTCTATCTTTTTGCACAACCCACGGCTACAATCCTCGCAAGATTTAAGCGTGCGAACTCGAACTGTTCCAACGTGGCGATTTATCGAATTACTCCGAATTACTCCATCCTCCCAACCCATGTATTTTGCCGTGTCATCACTGCTCCTTTCGGGTCGTTCCCCGCGTTTCCTCACATTCTTAACAGTGGCTCTTCTACGTCCCGACGGCGTCCTCGCTCGCAGTACCGCTAACACTTCGTCAACCTCTCTCTGGCTCAATTCGAGATTGCAGTTCTTGAACTTGATCTCGTTCGTACTCTGCTGTGCAATCGTCTGTTCCGGCTGTTTCACACCTTCGTTCTTCATCTTGTTGCTATCAACGTAGCCCTTCGTTGCCGCAACACCCAGAACTCTTCCAGGTACTTTGCTGAACCAATCCAATAATCCTCCTTCTTCTCTCTTTTCTTTCTCGTCCGGAACTGACAGTTTCCACATTAATTGATTCAAATCCGGCTTTCCAGTCTTTCTCTGACCATTCTTGACGGTACTATCTTCCTTGTTAATCTCCAATGCGTCTTGACCGGCTGATATTTGCGCGTCAGTGATAACCTTATGGATATTTTTAGGATAACTCTGATGTACGATGCAAGCGGAATTGTCTAGTGTTTTTTGCATCCATTTATGCGTCGAGGGTCCAGGATTTGATTCGTGGAAGGGATTGGGCTGAGCGTAGGGATTGATCGGAGCGTGGTTAGATGCGACAGTTGGCGGCTTGTAATTTTTTTCGGAATCGTTGAAACGAGCTTCCTTTGCACCACGGAAGCTTTGAAATTTACTATTCATATTGCTATTCTGCCACGAGGAGACAAAGGACCAACTGGTGGGAGCAAAAGGACTAAGATTGTGCAATATCCCACCACTCTTTGCGGGTATCATGTCCGAGGAGCTACCGGATTCTTTTCCAAGATTGGTCGAATTCTTAGCAGAATTATTGTAGCCTTCTTCGATCCGATCAATGTTCTTCGAATTAGCAATCTCCGCGAGTTCTGTCATCGTATGCTTGCAACGTTTCTCCAAGTTGCCATCAAGCTCCTCAATTTTTAAATGTATCTTAAAACAGCGTTCCAAGTCCGAGTTCCGGTTGTTATGAGTCCTCACCTCGTTCTTGTTCTCCAGTTTATTCTGAAGAGTTCTTGCGACGCTACGGTTGTTGTTCACCATCTCGGCAGTGCCTCTCGTTAAGCTCGAACTGGTGTTGTCCCTTATTTCCTGTGGTAGGTATTCTTGAACGGACGGCAACGGTGCTGGTTGCAAAGTCACACAAGAACCTTCCGCCGGGCCACAGGGAAGCGAGCGGCGACGTTTCCGTTCACCATTGGATCTGATAGTAGGTGACAAAGGGGATGTGTCCTCCTCTTCGCAACGGCAATCATGTTTACCAGATTTGTTACAAGTGGTTTGCAGTCTGTCGTCCACGAGAACTGTCAGAAAAGCGATTTATATTTACGGTTTACATTCAAATAAGGATCGCTCTGTAAAATAACTTAAGCCTTGTGTCCACGATCCGAGATCTGTGTCCAAGTCCCGAGAAATGTGTAGCTAATCAATTTGCATCCTTTACGGAAAAGCTGAAAGTTAACTGGCTACACATTTCTCGGAACTGGAACTTGGGCACAAGGGTTTATAGATAATCCCTGCAAGTCAATATTAGTTTATTACCAGGTAAGACAAGACCCTCTGGATTTTGTGCGCTGCCGGATCCCATCGGGATGCTCTTGGTGGGTGTTAATGCTCTTGCGATATCCTCTTCGTCTATCTCCTTTTTCGGATGCAGCGGACACGCGAGTACAGGCACCTCCTTCATCCGCGGCAGAGCCCACATAGTTACCTAAAATTTGCGCCAATAAATTAATTTACCGACACCAATCTTGTCGACCGCATAATCGATTTATACGTGACATAATCTTATAATGTTACCTTGATGGAATTTCCGTCGCCGCTACCAGCCAGAGGGAAGGTATGCTCCATCGGTGTCTCTCGGAACTTGCTGAGATTGTCTTCATTGTGCGATACGATCCGAGTCGCTATGTAGCTCGGCTCCGCGCCGTTGCTGCGTGACCACCACGCTGCAACTTGGCTAAAGTGTAACCGTGAACGTACTGCTTGGTACAATCCTTGAAAATTCATTGGTTCCGGACTCCTGAAAGAAACCGGGTACAGGCATAACATAAAAGGAAAAGATTTAGACGTAAGTCTATTCTGTCGATAACGCTGTGTAATGCAATATCCCTACGTAGCACTGGAGAGACGGAGAAAAAGAGCAAAGAACAAAACGAAGAAACAGCTAAAGAGATACCCGCGGAGCGAAAATCTTCTACGGAATACATTCCTTAGGAGTCTTATTAAAGTTCAAAGATTCAAGAACTGAAGGGACGAAGACAAGAATCCGGAATGAACAGAGGAAAGTCCCTTTTTATGAGATAGGCTTCCAATATGAGACAGCAGGTTTTCAACATCCAAATTCAACTACAAATCTTCTTTCGCAACGATCGCATGATCTGACAATGAATTTGCCATTAAACAAATGATAAAGCCAATAAACAACGTCTGTTAACTTAGCAGAAACCTCGCTCTCCCTCGTATTAGGAGCGTATCTCATAACAGGGGACCTTTCTCTAAATATATCGAGTTGAAAAATTATCTAAAATCAAGATCGAAACATTCTCGTTGTTCGATACATTTTGCCTTGCAGTACAGAGTGAAATAAAGCGCGACTTACTTGCTCGGGACAACGCAGATGCACCAGTACTCGAGTAACATCTCCGAAGCACATTTCTGCCATGGTGAAATGGGTAAGGACGGCACAGGGTACACGGGATACTTGCAGGTGGACTTTGTCAAACCACACGGACAATCGCTGCACAAAAGCACCTCAACGCACAGGTATGATCCAGTAGCGAGGCGTTCCGTGATCTCCTGAATTAGTACTCGGTATCGATTGCACTTGAAAAATTCAAGGGAAAAATGTAGGCGACAATGTTTTTGCAAAAAGATAAGAGAAAACTTTGATAAACTGTCCTTGTTGCGCAATGTATGTACGTGCAGCATAATCGCGTTGTAGTTTTCATAAAAATAGCCATTTCGTTGATCAATAATGAGACGCGTATTATAATTTTTTCAAATATAAATTTCACAACTTTAAAAACAAAATGCAATTATCCCGGCGTTTCCAATTGGCTCGATTTCAACGAAGCGTCCGATCTCCGTAATAATAATCGCGCTTATTGTTATTTTCATTATTTAATCGTTAAAAAGTTCGCCTACAAGTGCGCGTGTTATCTAATCTATTGTAATATACGTTATCTTCCGTTACGTGCGGCGTTTCAACAATTTTTTTTCCCCTGCAAAAACGAAGATTGCTCCGTTTAATTGGCAAATTGACGAATGCCTCCGATGGCTTTTACATTCAGCTGGCAAAGCTGCGCAGAAGTAGGTCGCCTAGGAACAACCGAGAGTAACGGGGACACCATATGTTACGTACCAGATAGTTGTTCTCCTCGCACACGTGGTCGTTTGGTACCGCCTGCATAGGCGGTGCGCAGTGTGGGCCCTCTTTGTAGCCACGCGGAGGGCCCTGGATCCTCCCTTCGCACACAAGGACTCCAAGGGCTCGAAACATACTAAGAATACCACCCCGACCGCCAGCCCCGTTCGGGCTGGAGGTGCCTCCTCCCGTCACCGCGCCTAGGCAGTGCATACCTATAATGCGAAAACAAAAGAAAAACCATAAATGTTAATCCATCGCGCAGAAAGAGGATCTACTTTTTACTCAATCGAGACGCCGAGCGCGATAAGTAGGAGAAATAATGAAAAAGCCGAGGTCGCGAGATTAGAAATAAATTAATTCGACAAAAGTACAGCTCGAGGATGAAACTCATCGGCGCGGGTGATCTGATGTGACATTTACAATTGATATTAATTGCATTCTTGTCGAAAGATATGAAATTTGCGAGCTTCGCGCCACGGCATTGTTCTCTGCCGGCAGGAGTCAGCCAGACCGAATCAACCAAATCTTGGTTAATTATTTTTAGGAAGCTGCCGCGCGTCGTCAGCCTCGCGAAGAAGCTTATCATCGGAGCAGATCGCGATCGCCCCGCAATCCCGGGATACGCGCGGGTCCAATGTGCTCGAGACGGCTCGTAGGAGCCTCCTGGATTTTTGTCGTCCCTTTAAATTTGTTGTTGTGTCACGTCCGCAGGACTGGTTATAGCCACCGCGCGTAGTGCACGTGATGAAAGAAAACGAGGTGCAGTTCGCGGCCTGCCGCGGCGGGTTACAGGTTTCCCGAACGGTTAGTACAATCATCGGTAGGGCCAATGCGACTCGCGCGTCGCCGATTCGCGAGTTTCGCCGACGATCCCGCGAGTAGACCCATTTAATGCCTCTTCGAGTGACACATCGGAGGCTGCGGACTCGAGACGGGCTCGAATTTCGTATGCCGCGCACACGAAACGTTACCGCGAACGTTACCGATCTTTCCGCTTTACGATACCGGTACTTAATAAAAAAAGAAAAGAAAGAAAGAAATGTACACCGACTGCGATCATGGAGTTTCGTGACTTTTAATGAGAACCCGCGGGCGCGAACGATACGCCCCTGCCCGACAGGGACTAGCTGCTTCTAACTGTAATCAGCAAGGCAAAAGCATTTTTATGCTAATGACACTATGATGCAACGCACAATTTAACGGGCAGAAATCTTTTCGTTCACGAGCTGGCGTATTCGCGCAAATGACGAGTCGGACGGCGCTCTGGTTGTCCTAAAGTGTCATCGTCTCGGGTTTCGAGTAATTACTACGCGATGAGCACTAGCGATTAAGTAATATCAGTTCCATCGATCGACTTATCAATTACGTTTTTGTATCGTTCCATCGACAAACAAGATAAGTGTACTCTCCGCTCGGGATAATATTTGCCGAAGTGTACCGACGCACAATCGCGTTTCGCCATTTAGAAAAAGGATCAGCACGCGCGGGGAGAGAAACGGGGCAAGGAGGGGACCGTTTGAGTAGGCGAGAGAAAAGAGTTCGGGTGAAAAAAAATTTTCCAGAGAAAATACCGAGAGGTCCGTCCCCAGCCTGAAACTTTTCCGCGGTCTTGTTCTTCAAGCGATTCGAACAGTCCCTCCTTACCCCGCGACGAGCAAAGGGAGGAGCAGGAACGGATCGATTCGCCCCCTTCCCCCCCCCCCAGAATTAGTCCCTGGCTACGTCCCTGCGTGTTACCGCGTTCGCGAGAAATTGTTAACTGAAGCGACTGAGGCCGCCTTCGATTTTCGACGAGCCGCACACGTTATCGGGAAAGCGGACGAAAGGCGACGTCTCGGGCGGGCGAAAGAAAATTATTCAGCGTATCGCGTGTACATGTGTGCGTGTGTGTGTGTGCACGCGATCGAACGGGTCGCGAGAGCGCTTAACGTCGCGTTACATAAACGGAAAGCCAGCACACGAGCGGAAACTCGAGGTCTCTTAATATCCACTCTCGCTGCCCACGTTACGTCAGCGAGACACCCGCCAGCCGTCCTGCCGTCCGGCTGTCTCGCTGTGATTTTTCACCTTCTTAATCTAATCTTAAACGAAAGACAAAGAAGCGGGGCGACGCGCGCGGCGTGCGCCTATCCTGGCCGCGGAGCGCAAAAGCCTCCCTGCGGAATCGTCGAAGCGCTCGCTTATCGCGAATGCGGCTCGAACCTTCGTAATTATTTCGCAATTAGAAGGCAACTTAATATACGATTGTCGGCCTGCATGTAGCTGTACATAATTAACGTTCGCACAATTCGATGGTACAAATAAAAAAAATACGCGGACGAGACACGTCCGCGCGCGAGCGCGAATGATTTCGTTTCGACGTGTCTCGTTTGATTTAACGAGTGAAACTCCTCCTCACAGAATTAAATGGACGGCGAACAATGGACGGACGTGGGCAACGGCGGCGCTCGCGTCGCCCCTGCGGCACGTCCGCGCGAAGGCAGGCGGCCGGGGCGGGGGGGGGGGCGAGGCGACAGAGGGGGGTGGGGTCTGGCGGAGCGAGAGTGGGGGGGGAACGGCGTGTATCGATGGCGTCGTCAGCTGAGCGCACCGCTCACAGCTGGGCGCGAGCGACGCTGTCGCCGAACAGCTGATCGCGTCGTCGCGCTGTCAGAACATGGCGAGCCAGCGCGCGCCGCGGGCCGGGCGAAGCGTACCGTCCATTTTCAGCTCGCGCTGACCAAACCGGGCCCCGTGCGAGAGCCCAGGGCCGTACAGGGCACGAGGACGCGCGTTTCGCGGCTCCGACACGGCTCGGCCACGTATACGTGAGTCAGGAGAGTCCAATCGTGAATCACGCGCGGGCTAGGTCTCGCTTCTGATTCAGGGAGCCTGTGCGGTCTTCTTCGGAGAAGAAGCAATTATTCAGCCGCGAGAAGCGGGACGCGAGGCTGCGCCTTCGTGCCCCTCCTCCGAATCTAGATACGATTGGATGCAAATAGACGCGCGGTTGGAGAGAGAGAGAGAGAGAAAAAAAAAGAGGAAGAATACGTCACATATGTTACGTTGATTCTTGAGATTCGTCTGTTGAACGTATCGCGGCTTCTAACTTGAGCCAACGGCACACGACACGATTTTTCCCGCTGGATTAAGCCAACGGCGCACGGTACTATTTTTCATACTGGTTTCCTTACGTGAGCCAAACAGGATTCAGGTTTAAGTCACCTGATCGAAAACTCTGCATCCTGATTGGCTCTCGCGAGGAATCCAGTGAGGAAAAATTGTAACGTGTGCCGTTGGGCTTTAAATCGAGACCGATTTCATCCGAGTCGCTCGGCGAAAGGGATTATCCTTTGAACTTATTACCTGTTTTGAACGCGCAACCGATATTCACGCTTGCGGATGCGGATAACGAGGGCGTTAAAGGTTCTCTCGGCTTTGTATGAGGACACGTCACACACAATCATTCCGTCATCTTCATTTACCTCTCCCTGGCAGCCTGAACGATAAAGGGCAAAATACAAAGTTCGGAATAAATAGAACACGGCGGAGCGAAACGTGTCCCGCTGTCGCAGACGCGTATTAATGACGTGCCAGTGACGCGACGTGAAATTCCCTCACGGTTTCCTGTGCTCGCGCGCATTCGTCTCGCCGAGTCAAATTTTTCGATGGAAACGAAATTGCACGACAAACGAGTTCAGGTTCGTTCCGAGCGGCGTGCACGTCGATCTTGTCCGTTCTTCGACTGGCAAAGGAACGCTTTCAAGACTGCCCAGAAATAAACTCGCTCTTCCGGTAGGTTTGTCGGCATTTACGATGGCGAAACGCGGCACTATCGACAAGAATATCGCGCGCATTCGCGCCGCGCGTTTAACTCTTGGGAGATAAAGAGGCTCGGTTATTATCGCGCTTCGACGTTGATCCGCGGTGTCGGGTTACGGGGGGGGGGGGAGAAGCGCGGGGAAATTTTTCAAACGGATGAAGCATTCGGACTCGGGGAAATTCGGTCAAGATCAACACGCGAAAAGGCATTTTCGACGTTGGAAAAAAATGCAACAATCGCCGTCCGACTTGACCTTTAGCTGCGGTATCTGCGCGCGGTGATCGGCTCGATCGCAGCCGATCGCAGAGCTGCGTTCCACCGGTCACAGTCCCCTGCTTACGGGGTTCGAGCGGAATCGATGTCTTTCAGCTAGGTCACCTAAAAAAAAGGAGATAAAAAAAATCCGGAGCGCCTATCTACCGGGCGTTCCGCATTTTACGAGCGAACGAGGGCTCGAAACTGGGTCGACTGGCCCAAGTAGCGCGGGGGAGCACGGTTTCCGGGCGAACCTATCTCCCGATTGTTAGAGAGACAAATCTCCGATAATACAACTTCTCTCCGAGCGGCGAGACTTCTCCCGGGAGAGAGGAGGCAAGGTCCAGAAATTGAACTCTCTTCGGGATCGCGAGGAGCGACTTCATTATCGCGCGGAATGGAGACGACTGGGACTAATAAGAATGAAACGTGGCGGGAGAACGAGAGGTCTAAACAGGAATATTCGGGTCAATACGAGGTCTGCAAAATGCAGCTTGCCCGCTCGCACTGCCCCCCCCCCTCCCTCCCCAAGTATTTTTATTCAGTTGTTAAACGTTACTGGCGGTACACGGGTTTCCGTGACGCAAGCACGTAAGCGGCGGATTGGATTTGAACGCGAGACTTGAAATAGATATTGGTCGGTTCCGGATGTTTAGCAACGCGGCGACTTAACGAAAAAAAAAAAACAATAAACCCGCGCCGGTGAAAGCGAGTTTCGATGGTTTCAGGGGGAGAGAAAGGAAATCATCGGTACGATTTCTTTCGCAAGAGCCGCTAGATTGCAAGATTACAATTCAACGCCTTTCGCGAAATACTTGTTTCCTCGCGCAAGATGCCGCGTCAGCTGTGCACGGACATCAGTTTACGTCAACGAGCGCGGCGAGATACGCAGGTCTTATTCTGCATCGACGACTGTCTTAAACGCTGTCTTGTATTACAAGCAGATTAGACGTGTGCTCGTAATCTTTTCGTATCGCAAGTGCGCCTCTCCCCCGTTTCAGCCTCGTCGCCCGCGGACGCCTCGCCGAGGCGCGGAGACCATCTCGGCTTCGAATAAAGGTTTCTGCCTGCGAAGGCAGGGCAGGCCGAGACCGGAGAGGGTAACGAGGTCAACGGGTGGGAAGCAGTGGGTGCAGATCTAGGTTACCTGTATATTATGCAACCAACACTACTGTAATTTCATGATTGCGCGTGGTAACACATGCCTACGTGCGCAGAGTGCGCAGCACGAAGCGACGACCACGAAAGTAATTGTATGCGCTCCGATAATGCGCCGCTTATGTTCGGCCGGCGAACAGAAATATTCGCGTCGTCGTGAATCAATCTTCCGCGAAAATCCCGTCTCGCGGTCCCTCGGCGTCCGCGTCCTCCGCGCGCAAAGGGATCTATTCTCAAATTACGCGAGAGAACGGCAATAATCCGATAGATCGAGTTATCTCGTCTAACGTCCTAGAATTCATCGAGCGCTCTCTCAATAGCTGCCACAGTCCGGATTCGATTGCGCCTTAGCAACAACGCCGAAGGCGTTTCAACCTTTTCAATCCTTAACGCCGCGCATCTTTAACGTCCGCGCGACCAAGTTTTATATCTGAAATCTGAAACGTGTCCCGTAAGACGGTACACGTTTCACACCGCGAAAAGTCACGTCTGCCGAACGAGCGCTCCGATTATTGAAAATCTTCGTCGCGATTATCACAACGGCATATTCCCGAGACCGAATCAAGTAAAAAAAAGTCCTGTACTACTTCCCCCCCCCCTCCCCGACAAACGGTTATCGAGTTATCGCAAGCCAAATATTGAAAGAGTTATCAATTTTCTCTCGAATATCTGAAAAAGTATTAGGCAAATCAAAAAATGTTTCAGACAAAAGTTGTTCATATTAATTAGTAGAATAAGACGGTGTAATAAGCAATAGGGGATTCCGTTAAAAAAAAATAGAGGTGACCTTGAAATC